TTTACAGATGGAGGGTGGGTGGTTTCCAAAATGAGGCTCTCGCCCCAGCACCGCGCACATTCGTTTCAAAAAATTGCACGAGCTTCACGGATTAATAGCGGGTCGTTATCAGAATGTGGCTCTCGCCTTAGCGCCGCGCACATTCGTCTTAGAAGTTAGTACGAGCTTCGCGGATTGAGGACGGGTGGTTTTCAAAATGTAGTTCTCGCTGTAGCGTCGCGCAGATGGGTCTTAAAATTGTTCAAGGGTGTCACGGATTCAGGGCGGGTCGTTTTCAAAAAGTGGCTCTCGCCTGACGCTGCGCGCATTCGTCTTAAAAATGTGTAAGAAGTTCACAGATTGAAAACGAGTAGTTTCAAAATGTGGCTCTCGCCTCAGCGCCGCGAACATTCGTCGTAAACAGTTGCAAGAGTTTCACGGGTTCCCATGGTTAACTTACCAGAGATGGTGTTTTAGAACGATTCAGGATTGTCAGGGCGCAACAGTCACGTTGATTCGCGGCGTTGATGCCCCAGGAATAATGTCCTGGCACGATTCTGGATCGTTCAATCACGACAGTCAAATTGATTCGTGGCGTTGAAGTCCAGAGAATGGTGTTTTGGCACGCTTCAAGACCTTCAAACGGTTGTCTCCCAACGCGGCACTCCCCTGAAATGAATCCGTGTAGGTGCCTATGATGAACGAGGTTGGAGACGGGTTTATTCCAGCATCGTTGAAGAATGATGGGTGTGCATTTGTCCTTCCACTCACCATCATCAACACCTGTATTATCATCATTAACATCGGCATCAGCATCATCTTCATCAATAGCATCAGCAGCATCAGCAGCATCATCATGACCATCAGCACCGCCATCATCACCAGCATCATCATAATCAGAAGCATAATCGTTATCAGCATCATCATCGTCATCATCGTCGTCGCCGTCATCGTCATCTTCATCATCATCATCATCATTATCCTCCTCCTCCTCCTCCTCATCATCATCATCATCATCATCATCATCATCATCATCATCGAACTGGAAATATTCCTCCTCATCATAAACCCATAATCACCATCATAAACCACCGACATGATCATCATCCTCATCCTCATCATCATCATCATCATCAGCATCATCATCATCATCAGCATCATCATCAGCAGCATCAGCAACAGCAGCATCATCATCAGCATCATCAGCACCAGCATCAGCATCAGCATCAGCATCAGCATCAGCATCCTCATCATCGTCGTCGTCATAAACATCATCATAATCAGCATCAGCATCATCGTCATAATCGTCATCATCGTCATCCTCACCACGCCCATCATCATCATCATCCTCATCATCATCAGTATAATCTTCATCATCCTCATCATCACCATCATCACCATCATCATCATCACCATCATCATAAATCATCATCATCATCACCATCATCATAAATCATCATCATCATCATCATCATCATCATCATCATCATCATCATCATCATCATCATCGGCAGAATCATCATCAACAGCATCATCATCGTCGTCAACAACGTCATCAGCATCATCATGATTACCATCATCATGATCATCATCAAGATCAGCAGCATCATCATCATCAGCATCATCATAATCGTCATCAGCATGAGCACCATCATCATCACCACCACCACCACCATCATCACCACAACCTCCACCATCATCACCACCACCGCCACCACCACCACCACCATCATGATCATCATCATCATCATCACCATCACCATCATCATCATCATCATCATCATCATCATCATCAGCATCATCGTCATCGTCACCGTCACCGTCATCGTCATCGTCATCGTCATCATCAAACTGGAAATATCCCTCGTATTTCCTTCTCCTTCTCGGCCCCTCCCTCCTGCTCCGGAAACCTCCCAAAGCCCCCCGAAGCCCCTAGAACCCCTGGGGCTCCCCGAAGCCCCAAGAAGGCCCCCCGCAGCCCCCCAAAGCCCGCCAAAGCCCGTCAAACGCCGAACGACGCCCCCCGATGCCCCCGAAGGTACCCGAAAACCCCCGAAGGCTCCTGGGAAGCCCCCCAGAAGCCCCCCCGAGGCCCACGGAGTGCCCAAGAAGGAACGCTGTGAGCACTTGGGCGTGCCCACAACGTTCCTCGGGGGGCGGTACCTCTTCGTCGCTGGACCCCCCCCAAGATCTACCTTTCCACTTGTCCAGCCTCTTCCTCTTCGTCGCCTTCCTCCTCCTGCTCCTTCTGCTCCACCAGCTGATCGCGAAGATTGAAGATTGAAGATTCCAGCGCACTTATGTCTGCGATTCTTCAAGCGGGTATGTGCACGGCAGAAGCCTGGGGCGGCTCCGTTTGAAGATTGAAAATTGAAGATTTATCGGCACCTATATCTGCGATTCTTCAGGCGCTGAATTTGCATGCTGTCGAAGGCCAGTTTGAAGGATCCTTGCCATAGGTCTGCTCGGGTCTTCGATCTGCAATCTTCAAACAGAAAGCGGAACCGAGAGAGAGAGGGGGAGAGAAACAAATACATATATATATATATATATATATATATATATACAATACTGCAGTGGCGCTTCGCGCCATGCACCTTGGTCCTTGAAGTTTGGTGTGCAGGCGGACTGCAGGAAGGTCAAGCCGACAATTTAGCGATAACTCCTTGTTGCCTTTTCTGGCATCGCCGCTATATTAATGTTATTCGTTATCCTTCCTCCATGCTTCTTTTTCTTCATTTTCGCCATGCCCTGCGCATTCTCCCCATCCTCCTCAGCTCTTTGTGCGGAGGCTCCTCCTTGGAGAGCCTCTGGGGGCATCACAAAAGTTGTTTCAGGCTTTCTTAAAGCCTTCTGGAGGCCTCCTGGGCGTGTTCTGGGGGCCTCTGGGGGCTTCCTCGGGCCACCCTGCCTCCAACCGCGGTCTCCCTGAACGACCGGGTCACAATTTGGAATGCTTCGGAGGGTGTCTTGGGGCCATCTTGAGCCGCCATGGGGCTCTCTGAGGGCCATCTTGGACCCCTGTTGTGCCGTTTTGGGGCTCTCTTGGACTGCCTGGAAGCCCTTTCGGATGGTTGTGGGGCGATTTTGGAGCCTCACAGGCGGCTTCGGACGCCCAGAACACCGCCGTCTTGGAGCGTCGGGAAGTCGAAAAGAGGAAAACCCCGAAATAAACCAAAAACCAATAGAAAATCAATGATTGTTGCCCCTTGGGGCCTTCTTGGGAGTGCTCTTGGAGGCCTACCGCTTCTTGGGGGTCGTCGTGGACCGAATTGGGGCTCTTTGGGGTCGTTTTGGGAGCGCGCCACGCCCTGCGAGGCCCGGGGGGCCGCTTCGAGGCCCGTCCGGAAGGTCGTCCCATAAGCCCCAGATCCCGGGAGTCCAGTTTTGAGGGGGGGGGGTCGGGTTTTCCCCCCGCCCGGGTAAAAATATAGCGAAGAGGAATTATCTTATAGATATATATATATATATTATATATATAGATATATATATATTTTTATTATATATATAAATCCTCGCGGAATACAAGGTTGAAGAGGGCACAACTGAGGTTCACCCCAGGCGTTCAAGGTTAAGCGATGGCAGTGCCCGGGACTAGGGGCAGACAGCGTTTCAAAACGTTTAAAAATACATCTTGGCTGATGGCTGCTTGCACCGCGGGGGTCTGTACAGGAGGGAGGAGGAGGAGGAGGAGTGAGAAAGGAGGAGGAGTGAGGAGGAGGGAGGAGGAGGAAGGAGGAAAAGGGAGAAGGGAGGAGGAGGAGGAGGAGGAGGAGGAAGAAGAGAAGGATAACGATCCTGAGCTCAAGCGGGGTCTGTTTTTAACTATCCGTAAGCATATTGGCTCAAGCTATTGCTTTGGAGGGTTAGTTGCCCTTTGCTTTCGGCCTCTCCAGATCATGCTCAACAGGCACCTGTTGTCGAGAACCCGCCCACGTACGACCAAGTCTTTGCTCGCATCGCTGCCGACGGTGTCGCTGTGCATCCTTCCCGCGTACCCGTGCTTAAGAAAGACGTCCACGTAGCGATGAACAACACGCAGAGGTTTTACCATCTGCCGACGGGTTTGGGCGGAGGTTGGTCGGAGGCGAGCTGGCAGCACCTCCTCCAAGGTTTCACGCGCCCACAGCGCCGTCAGGCAGCACTCTTGGCTCTGCCTGCGCCTGCGCCGGTACTTGCGCCAGAGCCAGCGCTCCCGCCACCTGCGATGGCGCTGCCGGCGCCTCCACAGCCCGCGCAGGCAGCAGCGCAGGAGGAGGACGACGACGACTCAAGCTCGGGCAGCAGCTCAGACAAGAGCGACGAGCGCCACGAGAGCGACGGGCAGGACAACGACGAGGAAGAGGAGGAAGCGCCTCTCGACAACGACTCGGACGAGGAGAAAGCGCCTCCCGACAGCGACTCGGACGAGGAGGAAGCGCCTCCCGACTCCTGGTTCTCCTCAGACGACGACTCGCCTGAGGAGAACCAGGAGAACCAGCTGAAGACCCTGCAGGAGAAGCTGAACCGCGCCACGTGGTGGAGGGAGAGTTGCGTCTTGAAGCTCAATTGCTGCGGGCCACGAACGACCAGCTCCAGACAGACAAGGAGTCCCTGCAGCGCGCGAACAAGCGCCTCAAGCTTGACCTTGAGGCCGCGCTCGGTCGCTGAACCGTTCGCGGCGCCTGGCGTCAGTACGGCGACACTGGCGCATATAGAATGCCCTCGAGGAAACGCTTTCTCGGCCATTACCCTCGCGTGGCGCCGCGGAAAACGTTTCGACTTGTTCCGCCACCGTGAGTTCGGGCAGGAAGAGGCGTGCTTTCTCGACGACGCTGGCCCCCTCGTGGCGCCCTCGAAGCCCACGACCCCCCCCCCGAAGGGCCCCGGGCCAGCGCTGTTGAAGGCATCGACGGCGACGGCGACGGCGACGACGACGACGGCGACGACGACGGCGACGACGACGACCATGACCATAACCATGACCACGACGACGACGAAGATGACGACGACGACGACGGCGACGGCGACGAGGCGGGGTCCTGGCAGGCACGCGGCGCTCAGCGGCAGGTGCTCGTCCCACTCGGCGGGACCAGCAGCGGCGGCACCGGCGGGCTGCGGCTCCGTCATCGGGGGCGGGGACGCCTGGGCCGCCCCCAGCCCAGACACCCTCGCGTCGTGAAGAGAGAAACCACGACGGAAGGGTTTTGGCTATGTGCGACCTCTGGGGCCCTTCGCTGGGCCCCTTAAAAATTGAAAACCAGGTCAGGACGAAAAGCCAGTGCCAGGGAATGGGACGCGACCTCTGGTGGTCCACGATGTGAAAAACCACATCGTCGTGGGTCTGGGAGGAAGGGGAGGAGAGAGTAGAAACGTAAAGGGTGGGACGATGATGTGGCTTTCCTCCCTAAGCACAGCATCGCGGTTATCACGGTTCGCTGATCATCAAGGCTGCCTGACAAGCTGTTCAAGAGAAGCTACCAGGGGCACGGTGGAACTCCAGTGCCCCAGCTCCTTTTAACCAGATGCCCTCGCAGAGGGCATGATCAAGTACCGTTCGAGCGAGAGGGCCCTCAGGAGGAGGATGAGATGGCCCCACGAAGGGGACTTCGCACCTCCCAAAGGGAACAAGCAATGACATAAACGTCAAAACTGTCGGAGGCCCGCGCGGATTTCTCGGATCGGGGCAGGACCCCCTCCCTGGCGCGCTGAGCGCCCCAAGGGCGGCGCCGGAGACGCCGCAAGGGGGCCGAGAACCGATCCAAGAAATCCGCGCGGAGCCTCAAAAATTGACGATTGTGCAGTTTACTCTTCTTCGATCCCAAACCCCCGACGTCATGATTTTTTCATGATGTCGACCCCCAGAGGTCTCGACCCATTCCCTGGGACCAGTTTTTCATCCTGGGTCGATTTTTGACGGTCACGAGGCCCGGGAAGGGCCTCCAGAAGCCGAAAATACAGAAAAACTACCGTCGTGATTGTTATCATGAAACAAAGGGGTCTGGGATACACGCATGGGTGGCTCGCCGGGGATCGCATGGCCCCGCGAGGTCCAAAAGCACGACCTCCAAAGGCGCTTCTCATCCTCCTCCTCCAAAAACCACGCGGCAATCCCCTTCGCCGCGCCGCTCCCGCGCGCGCGAGGGAGGGAGGGAGGAAAAAGGATGGAATTGGGTTGGATTGGGAGAGAGGAAGGAGGAGGAGGAGGAGGAGGAGGAGGAGGAGGAGGAGGAGGAGGAGGAGGAGGAGGAGGAGGAGCAGGAGGAGCAGGAGGAAAGAGGTAGGAGGGAGGAGGGAGGACGGAGGGAGGAGGAGGAGAAGGAGGAGGAGGCGAGAGGAGGAGGGAGGGAACAGGGAGGGAGGAAGTGAGGGAGGGAGGAGGGAGGCTCGCTCGCTCAACGTCGGTATCGGTCACTGCCGCACTCGTCCACCGGCCACCGGCACAGAAATGTGACAAAGGGCGCTAAAAACAAACCTTCCACCCACCACCTTAGCTCTGCCTGCTGCACCAAGCATTGAGCTGAGCACGAGTGTATGCTTGGTCCTGCTCGATATGCGCGGCGCTGCGCGGAACAGCGAAGCAGGGAGGGGGTGGGGGAGACAAAACTCGTGCTCGGCGCTCGGCCAGGCGTTGTTCCTCTCGCCTGGCCAGGGCCAGGGCTCGGTTGGCGGCAATGCGATCCAGTTGATGGGAGGAAAGAGGGAGGGGAGCAGGTGGGGGAGGCGGAGGCAAGGCGGGGGAAGGGGGAGACAACAACCAGTCCGCCGCCTGCTCCTCTTGGGACCCTAGGAGCTGATCTGCCACCTCTTGCTCCGCCTTTGCATCCTCGGGAAACTCCGAGGGGGGCAGCACAAGGTCAGAAGATGGCCGAACAACATCGGCGCCAGTTTCCTCAGCTTCCTCTGAGTCTGAGTCGAGAAAACGGAAACTCTCGTGCTGGTGTTTGGGCCGTGATCTCTGGTTGATCCTGCGAGGTCAGGGGCAGGCTCGAAACTTTGCTGAGCCTCACGGTCCCAGGAAACGAAAAACTCACATAGTGACTCTCGAACTTCTTGCAAGTCGGGCGGATATTCCGCCACTTCGTATACTCCATCGTCGGAGGAGGAGGGAGGCTCCAAGGACGGGGGGAGAAGAACGCTGATGCTATCCACGATAGCAGTGGCTAGGGCACGGCACAAACTGGATGGGTATGTCTTCTTAGACGCTGTATGAAACTGTCCTGAAGAACTCTTTCCTAAAAGCGTGCGATGGGCCTGGCGCCCGTGAGAGCACCTACCAGAACCTGTATGGGGCCTTGAGGAGGTCTGGCAAGGTCCTCATACGAATAGACAGAATTGTAGTGGGCGCTCGGCCCACAGTGCTAGGATCCACGTGTGGATCCCGATGTTCACATTGATCGAAAGACGTGATACGAGCACAGGGCGCTGCTGCAATGGCCTCCATGGGCCGCCATCTGAAACTAGAAGGGGCCCTAGGGGCCCATGTGGCAGGGGACGGGTGTTCAAGCCACCCCCCCGCGCCAGCCCTCGGATGTTCTGCCAGAAGCCGAACCAGAGAATGTAAAAGCTGAGACCCTACTCGAAGTTGTTCAGATTGACGCCAAGACACCCACGGCATACCCCATACGTAATCTGGGGACCTGAGTGGGGGGGGGGGCCTCCCTCGTGCCACCTGGAGGCAGACCATGTATCACAAGGGCCCCCCCCCCCCAGTGTTGACCACTCTGCGGCATCTGATGTGTTCATTACATTCCAATAACGCACTCTCCCTTGTGAGGTCTTCACTTACTGCGTCAATGGCAATGTCCACGCTGAGTACTATAAATTCATGGAAGGCTGCGTGCAAGTACACTCGACATGCCACTGCACGCCGCCCTGTCTCCTGCGTCCGCAGTAGAGGTTCAACGCGTACAGAGTAGGTCGGCGAATTCGAATCGGCACCGAAGTAGTGGAGATTCCCGAGGATTCACCAGGATTGCACACGTAGAACGGGACCTCGAGGGAAGGGTCCCCGGGGGGAGGTTCGTCCGAGAATATCTGAAGGTATTGCTCTATCTCGTCGTTGGGGATAGCGGGGCCGGTCTCGAGTAGGACGCGACGAGCGTCACGTTGGGAGAGGGGCCAAGAAATAGCACGAATAAGTTGGTGCCGAGTCGAACCGACTAGCTTGGTAGCGGGTACCTCCGTGCGCCATCGGCCTTGGCCTGCCGCGCGCTGTGCTCGGAGGCGTTCGTGTTCTGCCTGCTGCAGTTGCTGAACTTCAGCCACCGTGCAGCAAGGCTCCGTAATAATCAGGCCAACTGCGCACCGCGGAGAATCTAATACCAAGCGTGCTGTAAGCGCTGACCGATGCGCAAACCTCTGGAAACAAGACCGACAATGCAGTTCAGGCCCTAGGCAGTTCTGACTGAAATCGACCCTGGAATGGCGATTGCGTTGAATGTGGGCCCTGAGCCCACGAATACGGGCAAACCTCGTAGAGCACCACATACAAGACTGTATGTTGGCATCCGCTTGCTCCTGTGCACGTAGACGGTGGCGAGGATCGTCCCATGCTGGCGGCGCGCCAGCAGACTCGAGAATGCTAAGTATGTGCGCCTCTGCACTTCTAGCAAGTGTCCCTTTGCAATTGCCTAACATGGGATCCGAGGGCCATCTTGATGGTTTGCTTCCACGAAGACGGGGATTTCAAAGCCACGAGCCCCCAGCACGACATGTCTGCTTCCGGGTCGGCGAGATCCTGGAATCGATGGGAGTACAACTGCAACCAACGAAGATCCTCCATAATCATCTGGCCCCAGGTCCTCGACGAGATACGCAAGGCATCATGAGCAAGAGCCAAAATGTGAGGAGGCCCTCTCCGAGGTAAACGACCGAACAAACGAAGTCGATGAGCTGAAAGGAGGGCCTGCAAAGATGGTCGACACACTTGCACGAACACACAGTCATGGGAAACAGTTGATTCGTCCGTCCTCGGGAGCTCGGCGAAAACTCTATAATACGACATCGACCCGTCCTGCAGGCGTCGATACGGCGCAGACGATAGGTAGCCCCAAGTACTGGCCTGAAAGAGCCTCTCAAAGCATACCAGGGAATCCAGGAACGCGAGGGCCACATGCTTGTCAATGACCTTGTGTTTGAGCACCTTGGACTTGAGAACCTTCCAGGCCTGGGAGCAACTATGGAGCCTGTGTGCCAGTTCGGGCCCCATTGAGGCCGACATGTCGTGTTTAGTCCCAAGATGAACATACTCCTGAACCCGATGAAGTTCAACATCACCCAAAGTGTGAGTGCGAGTACGTATAATGTTATGTTGTTCATGAACAAGAGCACGTTTGGCAATCTTAGACGTCGGACCTCTGAACTGAAACATAAATGCTGACTTGCCTGGCTTGGTATTGATCTGGAGGCCAAGGGATGTAAAGGCCTCAATGACCACTGCTGCAACAAACGGCGCTTGAAATAAGAGATCACTTGCACGACCAGCGAAGCAGAATAGCGCATCATCGAAAAAGGCGCCGTCCAGGACGCGGCACTGGTGCACTGGGGCTTCCTGTGCTCCTTGAGCACGGTATACTGCGAGCGAGGACGAAAGGTGACACGGAATATGTAGACCTACTCCCAATTCTAGGAGACCCTCCTGAGCCGTGGCCATGGTTTTGGACATAACGAAATTGAAGACGACATCCCCCAGCTGCTGACCAGGTCCAGAGCCCAAGGAAGGAAACGCCACACCATCACCGTCCCGAATATAGAACCAGGATTGCTCATACGAGTCCGAAAACTGTCCCCGACGAGGAGCGGAAACACTACCCTGCTCCAGGATCGGGATACTATGCTTAATTTGTTCGGCCAGCTCATGAGTAGCCTCCGCTGGGAGACCACAGAACTTCAGCAGGGCTGCCACTGCTTCGTCGCTGGCGGAGGTGCGAAAAACCAGCTCCCGAACTGATTTGTAGAAAGCCTGCACCGCGTCGATGAAAAGCATCATGACAGATTTGTTTTCGGCCTCGGCTCTCTGCTGAAATACCCGAAACTCCAAAGCTGAAAACTCCGTGCCTCGGCCTGGGATACCTCCGAACTGTCTGACTCCCACAGCTTCCGTGAGGAAGGGTACAGCACTGGCACGCGTAAGAGCACGAAGG